AATAAATTTGCGCACGAGGCTCACATTTTTAAAATCTGAAGAGCAATTCTTCAATTTCTTTCAAAGTGTAATAATTCAAGAGTAAAAATCCACAGGTGGTAGAATGTTATGAGCTGTTCCAGGAATTTCAGATCGTGAAGAAAAAAAATAATGCCGAATTTCAAAGACACAAGCAATGCTTTATGCCGTCATCACTCAACAATTTTCTTGCTCAAATTCACATAAAAACGCGACATATTCCCTAAAATGATCAGCACACGTCAAAAAGAAAGATAGGTAAGAACTCGCGACAATATGACTAAGGTCTTTGACACAATTATAATCTGCACCCTTTTGTGCATCACGAATGAGATGGCGAAGCAGGTTTGAGATGGTATCCGTTGAGTTCCTACGGTTTCCTTTCATTTCTAAAAAAAAAGGGGATCTTTCACAAAAATTCCGCTGAAAATCACGGATTTCTTGGCGCCGAACAGTTCTTCAAAATTCAATGTTTCCTTGTTACCGAAACCTCCAACATTCGCATGCATTTTTTTAAATTTAGAAAAATCACATGTTGCGGTGATTTAATTTTTGTGTCTGGTTTGAACACCTTTAAATCATTTCCACTGGAAGAATTACAGTGAGGAAAAAGGGAAACGAAGATTCTCTTATTCTCTACACGTCGCATTATTTTCTTCATGATAATACGTTATGCTCAGGGTGCTGAATAAATTTCGAGAGATACTTACGCGCTTCTCAAAGAAACTTTTGAATAAAATACGCAAAAAGGGATCTCTTGATGGTACAGATATTTTGACGATAGGTGCAACGTGAACAAGGAAACCCCATTTACGGGAAAACCTCGGCGTCCGCATTATTATGAATTCGTGGAATTTTTAGGATATGAAAGATGTCTAGTTGTATATGCATAGTGCTGGACATATCCATAATTCCACATCAACACCCTGGCTTCGAGGTTTATACGCTTCCGGTTCATCCTTTCAAGCCTAGACATCGTTGTGTTTTTAAATCACGAAAAGAAAAGGATGCGAAAATTCTAATCTTGAATTGCTTTTTATGCAAGACACGAGTAAGAAGAGGATTCGTCACACTAATTCTCAATAAGAAGGGCTCCAGCTGATAAAATCACCAGACCTGGTACCCCAAAGTGTCCATTTTTTAAGTTGTGCATGATTAATTATCCTCCATACGAGAATTTCAATTTTTGGAATCTTTTTAGTAAATTACCAAAGCACTCTTGAGTTGGCTAAGGTCGGGTGCTTTTAAATAAGCTTTAATGATCCAGAACACCATGAGACAGCAACGAAATTTGCTGATTAATTCGAAAGGTGTAGGGGGCAATTGAAAATTTCAGAAAATCATACTGACAACCGGAATTAAATACTGTCGATATCGTTTTTCTGTGTAGAAAATTTCAAAAATCGAGTCATGGATGCAGGTCTGCTTTAAAAATGTGATTCTTCATTACAAAATTATCAAAATCTTTGTAGAGAACTTGTAATAAATTGAATTCGTTTATAAAATAGAAGAAAACAAATGACGATGATGTAAGAATCAAGATCCGGGTAATTTTTCCAACACCTTAAGAAAAGCGCAAGTATTTTTTTTATGAAATCTATCGTGTGCTCTTTTTCGTAAAGAATAATATCCTTTTCCCGGTTTTTCAAAGAGAGTTGACATAAATTGACCAATTCACGTGACTGAGGTTTCCGGCATTCTTTTTTGTTGTTGTTGCTGGTACAGTAGAATATAAATATACCTTCCTTCAGTCCGGGAAGTTTTTGAAAGGCTTGCTTGAATCGCTTTGTAGCTCCTTAAAGCTAACGAAAATGAACCAAACGGTATTCTCAAGCGACACAAAACGGGGATTCGGACAAGTCCGACATGGACTTCCGACTGCACGTCATGCCACGTCCACCATTGCCCTGTCGACACCGTTCCTCGCTGAATTTCCCGGCAGCAGCAGTTGTGGCGAGGGTTGTGACAGCGATCGGCGACGGCGTCGTCGCGATTTGCGGCGAAGTTGACTGGGACGTCGAGGGCGCGTCGTCACGTCGAGATCGACCAAAGCTCGACACTGCCAGTGTCGGTGAGCAGGCGAAAGGGAGACTGAGTCGTGGCAAACGCTTGGCTTCCGGTGGTGGCGCCTCTAGAAACGGTGGCGCTGCTG